CCACGTCTATCGCCATGCACAAAACTTAAGTCCAATGGATCAAAGACCTCAACATAAATCCAGCCACACTGAACCTATTAGAAGAGAAAGTAGGAAATACCCTTGAACGAATTGGTACAGGAGATGGTTACTGAACATAACACCAGTAGCACGGACACTGAGATCCACAATTAATAAATGGGACCTCCTGAAACTGAGAAGTTTCTGTAAGGCAAACTTCTGTAAGTCAACAAGAGAAAATGACAGCCCACGGATTGGGAAAAGATATTCACCAACCCCACATAAGACAGAGGGCTGATCTCCAAAATTTACAAAGAACTCAAGAAGCTAGTCTCCAAAGCACCAAATAATCCAATTAAAAAGTGGGGTACAGAACTAAATAGACAATTCTCAACAGAGGCATCTAAAATGGCTGAAAGACACATAAGAAAGTGTTCAACATCTTTAGCCATCAAGGAAATGCAAATCAAAACAACTCTGAGATACCATCTTACACCTGTCAGAATGGGTAAAATCAAAAACGCCAATGACAGTTTATGCTGTAGAGGATGTGGAGTACAGGGGAACACTCCTGTACTGCTGGTGGGAGTGCCAACTCATACAGCCACTTTGGAAATCTGTGTGGCGATTCCTCAGGAAAATGGGAATCAGTCTACCACAAGATCCAGCAATTCCACTCTTAGGCATATACCCAAAAGAAGCACATTCATACAACAAGGACATCTGTTCAATGATGTCCATAGCAGCATTATTTGTAATAGCCTGAACCTGGAAACAAATCTAGATGCCCCTCAACTGATGAATGGATAGAGAAAATGTGGTACATTTACAGAGGAGAAAAAACAATGGAATTTTGAAATTCGCAGGCAAATGGATGGAACTAAGAGAAACCATTCTGAGTAAGGTAACCCAGTCACAAAAAGACAAACATGGTATGTACTCAATCATATATGAATTTTAGACATAGAGCAAAGGATTACTAACCTACAATCCACACTGCTAGAGAAGCTAGAAAACAAGGAGGACTCTCAGAGTGACATACATGGTCCCCTGGAGAAGGGGAAAGGGAGAAGATCTCCTGAGCAAATTGGGAGAATGGGGGGAGAGAAGAGGGAGCTAGGAGAATGAGAAGGGGAGAAGAGGAGGGATGCAGAGGACATGAGGGAGCAGAAAGGTTGAGTTGGGGGAAGAAGAGAAGAGAGCAAGATAAGAGATAATATAATAGTGGGAGACATTATAAGTTCAAAGAGAAATCAGGCACTAGGGAAATATCTGGAGATCTACAAAGATGACACCAGCTAACAATCTAAGCAACAGAGGAGAGGCTACCTTAAATGCCCTTCCCTGATAATGAGATTGATGACTGACTTATCCCACAGCTAAAGTTTGAACTGAACTGAAATCCAGATGCAGAGAAGGAGGAGTGATGAACAAAGGCTGGTGAAACCCACAGAAACAGCTGACCTGAACAAGGGGGAGCTCTTGGCCCCCAGACTGATAGTTGGGAAACCAGCATGGGACTGATCCAGACCCCAGACACATAGGTGTCAGTGAGGAGACCTTGGAAATCTATGGGGCCTCTTATAGTAGTTCAGTACTTATCCCTAGCATAGGTGTAGACGTTGGGAGCCAATTCCACATAGAGGGATACTCCCTGAGCCTAGACACCCGGGGGTGGGCCTAGGCTCTATCCCAAAGGATATGACAGACTCTGAAGACCTCACCCTCCCTGGGGAGGAGAAAGGGTATGTGATAGGAAGTGTTTTTGTTGGGGCAATGGCAGGGGAGGAGGGGAGGCAGAGGGAACTGGTATTGACATGTAAAACAATCTTGTTTCTAATTCAAATAAAAAACTGGAAAAAAAAAAGGTGGCAAGAAACAAGCCAAGCTTAGGCCAAGCATTAATAAGTATAAGCTTCTGTGTGTATTTGGGAGCTGGATGGTGGGCCCTCAAAGAGCCCAAAAGAGTAACAAACATCATAATCCCCAGGCCTTGCTGAGGGGCACTGGCTTCCACAGGGACAGCCTCCTGAACCTGCAGGCCTTGCTGAGCTTCCTGTTTCTGCTATGACCATCTGTCCAGTTCTGTTACCACAGCTGTCCATTCCTCCTTGAACCTAAGCATAGCGCTTTCTGTGGGAGGTTGAGCCTTTGTATTTACAAATTCCTGTTATATAAAACTTCTAGGAAGTTTGGTCCATCTTTTGCTTTAGGCGTCAGCTGTGTGCCTTGTGTTGAGGATAACTTATCTTTGCATCTCCAATTACCCCAAATTGTAGAAGAATGCAGGACAAACCACACCCAGGGTGGGGCCACTGCTGACATCCCACTTAGTGTTTCTGGAAGTCATTTAGAGTTTCTTCATGGAAAATGTTACCTTTTGAGGTTCTCAGAAAGGCTATATGAAATAAGTATGGAGAAAGGAAAAAAGTTAGAAAGTTACTATTATTTGAAGGTACATCTCCTTTTAAAAAATTAGATACCCTTCGTGCTTTTAGCATAAACTGATTTTTGTAATTGAGCCATTCAGAATATACTTAATGTTAATCTTTAGAGATTCATCAGGTAAACACATATTTGTCAGTTGGACTGGCACTGATGTGAGTCTAATTTTATATGTAAAACTGTTCTTGACAGAGAGCCTGTCTGTCACACAGCTCTATAACCCTCAGTGAGTGGCTTATCAGAGCCAACTACGCCCTGCTTTGTCCCTGTTGTTGGCACAGCACTGCCCACAGCTGGCTCCTCTTTACACATTTTAGGATGGAACTTACAGTTCCAAGCGGTTTCCAGGAATCTAAAAGCTTAGGGAAGCATATTTAGAAGTATATAAAGGGCTTGGAATACAGCTTGATGACAGCACATGCACAGCATGTATCAGGTTAGGCTTTAATTCCCAGTTCTGAAAACAAACAACAGGGCACACAAAAATGCTTTAAATAGGCAGAAGAAAGGATGAGTGGAAGTGAGAGTTTCTAAGTTGGAGATAGAGTTATATTGTCAAAACAAAACAGCTAGTTCCACATCAGTGGGGATTGGACGTTTAGGCATGTACAGAGTAAATGCAGGCATCTAGTATTATTTGCAGTATTAAGAATGAATAAACATACTTCTCCATTTATTTAAAAGTCACCATCTAAGTAAAAATTTAGCTTTGAAGTGCCATTCATAAAAGGGAAATTGAGACTTATTTGCACATATGAAATAAAATGCATAAACTAATAAACCTTTAGGAATGTAAATATCTCTTATCATTTTTACTAATAGATTATGATGGGTTCTCTTAATTCATACATTAATTTAGGAGAAGCAAACAATTACTTGTGACTTATCCAGTGGGCCCTTTCAACTGAGTGCAAGTGCAGTGATCCAGAGCAAGTACTCACTGGGGAACAGACCTTACCTGGAACTGCATCAGCATGCTGCTGCTGGTTTCATTACACCCAAACTAGATTAAAACAAAAATAAAACCAAAACGGGATCCAGATGCTTGTGGCTACAGCTGTGCTAAAAATCAACTTATTTCAAGTACTGTACTTCTCAAAATAATTCCGAGAACACCGAAATGCATGCATGTTTGCAGATGTCATTATCTGGTTATTTGGAAACCAGTTAACTCCAGGTCATTTCTGCTGCCTCTGCTTGCGTGGGAGATTGCACAATGGAGTGAATTCAAAGAATAAAAACAATACACACTGAAAGTGAGAAGTCTCTTTATATGTGCAGCCAATTAAGAGTGGATCCAAAGTCAACAGCTCCTCAAGCTGGATTACGTAAGAGGTCTGGGTGCCACTTGATAAGTCTCCACTATCATCTCATATTTCAGAGGAATCAATAGTTATGTGAAATTACTAAAGTGAATAGGTATTACCTTAGCACTGAGATCTGTATAAAGATATATACTGAAAAGTATCAGACCACATGACAGTGACTAGCACCCCTTTGGTGGCTTTTAAGTAAACAAATACGAGTCATTTAGCAGGTTGAGGACTTTCCACTAGATCTGGCTGCAGAGGTCAGAGCTCAGTCTGTGAACAGAAGGTTTTAATTAACAGATCACCAGGGAGAACAAAGACAAGGAAGTACAGATAGAAAAAAATCCATGGGAATCTCACAAGTAGCACATGCCTATAGCCGTGAAGGGGACTGTGATGCACAGACCACTTCCTTCTGTGCTTGTGTATCTCAGGCCAGAGTTACTCTTAGATACAAATGCCTTTTTCAGACCCAGCTGTTGGCAGGATCATATCTCTTCATTTCTAGAATCACAGCACACACCTACTGGGACTCATGCAGGCATTTCATGCTGCTAGCTGCCCATGAAGGCACTGGCTGGGTGTTTGTTCCCATTACTATGTAGGAACCATTCATTACTGTTGTGGTTTGAAAGAAAATGGCCCCCAAAGGGAGTAGCACCATTAGGAGGTGCAGCCTTGTTGGAGGAAGTGTGTCATTGTGGGGGCAGGCTTTGAGGTCTTTTTCTAATGTTTCACTCAATGTCACAGTCGACTTCTTGTTGCTTTCAAGATATAGATAGCATCTCGGCTCCAGGACCATATCTGCCTGCACACAGCCGTGTTCCCCATTGTGAAAATAATGGACTGAACCTCTAAAACTGTAATCGAGCCACCCTCAATTAAATGTTCTCCTTATAAGAGTTGCTATGATCCTGGTGTCTCTTCACAGCAATAAAAACCCTAACTAAGACAGGTACTTTACTTAAACTACATGTGCAAAGTCCTGGAAATGAACCAAGATGGCATTTCCAGAATTTTTTTCCCCTTTCAAAGCCTGATAAAACTACAAACATTTGCTATTACTGATATCCATTCTTGGTAGATTCTCAATCTGCTTAGAAACAAATGCATACATTCTCCCAGTGATAGCAGTTTTAGCAGACAAGAACAGAGGTCAAGTTACTAAGACATCAAGAACAGCTCTCAGGCTAAGGGGACTATGGAGACAGGGGTGTCAGGCTGAGGCACAAAAGGAGGCTTCTCTGAGGAAACTGTATTTATTAAGGAAGCTGAGGCCAGGACATTAACACGACTCCAGAGAACCTTGATCTCAGTAAGCCCCCAATAAGTGATAAACCCACACACCTTTAAGATATGTACTCGTCACTGAAAATGAATGGCATACATGCTTAATACGAAAGGATATGAGACCAGATTAGTTTGAGTTGCTCTACAGTATCTATGTAGCTATGTGCACAATATTTCAAATACTACCAACTAATAATGTGTCTTGAAAAGGCATTCCTGGACTCAATATTATGCATTTTTATAAACACAGGAAAACACTGTATTTGCATACAACTTTATTATATGAATAAAAATAAATACCTCATGCCATGGAATGTTGAACTTAACATCAATCTATACAAAACATGAACATTTCTTTAAGAATTACTTCTCTTACCACTTTCAACTCAAAAAGAAATTGGAGGCCACTGAAAGCAAGTCATCCACTTGCTCTCAACTACGCTCACACTATGATGAGCAAGTCCATCACTTCCTGAAAACCTGTACTGTTTACATTCGACACTTTAATTAACACAGATTGTCACAGACGGCTAAAAATGAGTTATTCTTGAATTAAAAGTGGCAAAGTTAGCAAGGACTTTGTCATAGAGGTAAATATCAAAAATAAAATGAGGAAGATGTTACATATGAAAACACCACCAAAGAATCTTCTGTAATAGGTGTCTGAAAGATACATCTAAACGTACACTATGTAGAGAAGGAAAGCACAAACCAAAGTCAGAGGCACAACATAAAAACAGCATTTAGTAGTCTTTTCGAATGCTCCAGTATTCAGATACACTGCTCCCAAGCCAATGCCTACTCCAGGGGAGAAAGGAAAGATGGCAAAAATTGTTTAGCACAAAGGCAGTTGCCACCCACCTTTAACCTCTTGGCCCTTTATGTGTTGCTAATTAGCATACAATACCTTAACTTGCCAACAGAGAAAGGGTTGTGCTGCTAATTCTGTGCAGGGTCTTTAAGTCCACCCTACTGAATTACTAGTCATTTCTTTGTCTTGCAATAAACGAGTGTGGTGACCCCCTCAATCAGTGGTGGCTCACTAGCTTGCTTTCTTGATGTCCTTCATTTCAGGAGCTCCCTCTGAAATCAACAGCAGCATTCAAGGGAACTCTTAGGGTAGCTGTGGAGGCGAAAGTGATTGAGTCTCTCTGCTTCCTATGTAAACATTTATCTGAAGGAAAAGAGGTCATCGTGTTCAAACTGTCTAAGAGCACGCTCCCCATGGCCCCCAGCATGGCTCTTTGTTCTTTAAGAGGGGAAACTCCAAAGCTTCTTGCTATCCTCTGTAAGCCATATAGTTCATTGTTCCAGGCTATGTAAACACATATGCATCTGGGCTTTTGCAAACTCTTTAATTGAAATTAAACGACACTAAATATTTTACACATTATAAAAATTTCTTCAGCTTTTGGCACTATTAACCAAATATGTGTGTATTATCATGGATACAAACTCTTAAGAGGAAAACTGAATGCGCCTTATTATAATACACTTCATGCCAATGTTTTCAGAAATGCATAGGGGCAAATAGTCAGGAGGCAACTGAATCTGGTTGTGTGGCAGAATAAAAACAGAAATACCCACAGGCAACTCAGTCCTCTCTGCCCCCAAACAAGGGGCAATTAAACAGATGAAAAGGCTCAGGTTCAAAGCAACCCAGTCAAGCAGTGAAATCAAGCTGCACATCAAGAATAATTTTAAAAACATATTCAACGAGTTTCAATGAAAACATTTGTAGGCAGATATTGCAAACTTTTTTTTACTACATAATCATTTAAAAAAAACTGTTCTCAGACACTGATCTGACTACTCATTGTGCCTCCTTGCTCTGTGATGATACATTTAAAAAGTTACAGTATAAATGGATTCTCAATAAAGCATGTAATATCCGTGAAAGTACTTGTCATCATGGGGGCATTCAATAGTTGTCCTAACACACACTTCAGTCTTTTGGAAGACTATTATAAAAAAAAAACTGGCAGTCATTTTTTTAGCATTTGCAGGTACTTAATACAACTGATAAGAAAGCTACAAGAAAAACTGAAATGATTTTTCAAGGCTTGGATATTTTTTTCTGTTTTAAAAACAGGTAATGCCCTTTTATTTGCAATGATTAAGGTATTATTAATCCATTTTGTGTGTGTTGGGGATACGGAGACAGACAGACAGACAGAAGACAGACAGACACACACACACACACACACACACACACACACAGAGAGAGCATGGAAGCCCATGTGTGTGCCTAGAGGCCTGAAGCTGACACCACGTTTTCCTTGTTCTTTATTGAACAGAAGGGGGTGGGGATGGGGGAGTCTTGTTGAACCTGAAGCTACCCCATTTAGTTAGCCCTGTGTTGCAGAGATCACCTTTGCCTGCCACATGCTGAGACTGGAGGCCACGGGGCCTGTTAGGCTTTGCGTGGATTTGGGCAGGTGGTCTCCTCACCTCTGCTCCATCTGCTGAGTCCATCCCTCCAGCTCTTATTTTGTACCATCTTGAAAGGCAGTTTATCTGTTTTTGTTTGGTCATTTTTTTTTAAGGCAGTCTCATACTGTGTAGCCCAGGCTGGCCCCTAGGTCACAGTGATCTTTCCTTAGGTCTGAAGTAGTGATATCAGACATGTGTCCACAGCTGGCTTTGGTAATCTTTTTGAACTTCAGCTGTTATCCACATTGTGTTTAACAAAGGAAAAAGGAGCAGGGTTGGGCCTGTATTGTGAGGGGAAAGATTTTGAAGTTCTTTTTTTTTCCTATATGATTAAGAAAAATTCTCCATAGAGATCTTGTAGTAACACTAGCAGTACTCTAAATATTAACTCACAGGTAACTCTGGCCTTTAATCTTAGCACTCAGGAGGCAGAGGCAGGCAGATCTCTGTGAGTTTAAGGCCAGCATGGTCTACATAATGAGTGCCTGACCAGCCAGGAATATACATACAGTGAGACCCTATCTCAAGAAAACAATAACAAAAAAACCAAAACATAAATTCTAGTTCACTTCCTTGCAATAAACCAGAGACCTCTAGCTGCCCTACAGCACATCCTAACCAACCAGGAGGGGGGGGGTAGGGTCTGCTGTTGGGACAATTCCAGTTTTGGATTACATATGGCCTTAGTATGGAGGCCAAGGCAGTTTTGAGGACAATGACAGAAGAGCCTAGGCTGCCTTATTCAGACTGTTAGCAGGACAGGCTAGTGCTGGAGAGGGTTGGAAGGGAGTTAAGACCTGATAGAGAAAACCTAAACCATCAAAGAGTATCTAAGTGGTCATCAACAGTCTTTAGAAAGTGATGGCATTAAAAGTCCTGCTGCAGTGGGCTCAGAGAATGACAAAGCCATTGTTGGAAAACTGAAACTTGGCTGGGTTGCACAGTTATGTGCAAAGCAGACTATGTAGATGGTAAGCTTAAGACTAAGTGGGAATTTTCAGGTAAGCTTTAAACTGTTTTATTCTTCCTGGTTGTAGTATAAAGTTTCATCGTAAATAGAAACACCGTGTGAAAAGGTGATATATAAAAAGAAGCCGGGGCTTAGTGGAATTCTCCATCTACCTAATCGACAAGTACTTAAGAAAGGTGTTTTTTAAAAATGGCAATACTGTCAGGAAAGCCCGATGTATAGAAACAAGGCTGTGGCTGTATAACCCTTATACAAAGGGCTGGGAATGGCTCAGCAGCTTGTGCTGGCCATGCTGGGTGGGTAGGAGGGCTACCACAATTCCAGCACTCAGAAGGTACAGACAGGGACTCCCTGGAGCACGCTAGCCAGACTAGCTGTACCAGTGAGCTCCAGGTTTAACTGAGACCCTGCCTGAATGGATAGGGTGGAAAGAGATGGAGGGAGGATCCCAACATCAACTTCAGGCTTCTCCCAAACACATATCCAAACAGGCACACAAGCACACACACCACACATGGAACAAAATGGTTTGCATATTCAGGCACACAAAAGGCTCTTAAAGAGATCATGGGTATGACACAGTTCTACTTTCTGTGAGAAACTAAAAATATGACATGGGATTATTTCTGTTAGTAGAAAGATGCTTCGAAGAGCTCCCTGTTTAATGGAGCCAATTTCTATGGCACACAGGAGATCCTTAAGTTTCTTGACAGAGTGTTGCTGTTGTAAAATGAAAGGCACACAGCACAGGATGAGAAGAAACAAGCTGTGTGGCTTCTGTGAAAGGAAGATGATGGAAACAGTCAAAACTCCAAGGACTAATTTGCAAGAGCCAATGTTGGACCATAGATGTTGATGGGATGTTCGACTGGATTTGCATGCTCCTGGGTAACAGTGGCTCCACTTTTGACTGTTTCCTGCCTTTTACACATCAATGTTTATAGCTTAGTCTATCGCTGTTTTGACATTTACCTGTGAGCTGATAATTCCTTTTTAGTGACACAGGAAGAGAGGAAATTTAGATCTCCAATTAATTTAGATCATCTTAATGAGAGTTAGGATTTCTGAACCAATGAAATGTAGATAAGGTTTTGGACTGAGTTGATGTGATATGCTGAGATTTCTGAGCACCTCTGAAGGGATGGGGTGAGTCTTTGAGATAGTGTGGGCTGTGGTCAGCAACCATATCAATCTCCTCCATCCCACGAAGGTGTAACTGGAATGGAAAAGAGCAACTCTGAAGGATGATTAAGGTGACTATCAAGTTAACATTTGGAGATGACCATGTGCATCCTCTCTCATCTGACAGTCCCCAAAAGCTGGAAACATTGTAATTACCAAAGGCTCAGAGGATGCGAGTGCTGGCTGTTAGACAAGGGAGGGACAGCACCATGGGTAAGGAACACAGATGGCCTCTGGAGGCTCAGCAGCCAGGGAATGAGTCTCTGGAGCCTGCCTGCAGTCCTACCAACACCTTGATTCTAGCACACAGAATCTCCTCTTCAATTTCATCCTACACGATTTTAAGATAAGAAATCTGTGCATATCAGTCACAAATTCTGTATTTCCTTATGTCAGTAACAGAAAATAAAGCCAGGCGGTGGTGGTGAACACCTTTAATCCCAGCACTCGGAGGCAGAGGCAGGCAGATCTCTGTGAGTTTGAGACCAGCCTGGTCTACAGAGCTAGTTCCAGGACCCGCTCCAAAGCCACAGAGAAACCCTGTCTCAAAAAAAAAAAAAAAAAAAAAAAAATCACACCGAAATGGTAACTAATGATAGGGGAAACATACTCTTCTGTTGTTTCCGATACAGACCGCATCATTCAAGACATGCCTGGATAAGGGAAACACAAACATCTTGCTGGTGATTTTTCCTTCAGTCTCTCAGACTGAGTTCATACACTGAAGAGTACATTGTTTTGTACAACAATCTACAACAGTATTTCTGTGTATATGTCCCCTTTTCTATGTTGAATGAAGCAATGAAAGTGATCAAGGCAGGCTCTGCAAGAACAATAATTTCTTGATTTTAAAGTGCTATTTATCATCACTTCTCAAGAGCTGATGACTTTTACATCTATTAAAATTTAGTTTATGAACTGTAATTTTATAAAATACAAGGCCAAAATATATTCTGTGATACTAACATAGTTCAAACAATATGTGAAAAGAACACACAAAAATCTTAGTTATTGTATGATCAAACAATTTTGAAGTTGGAGTAGACACTCTGGTATATATTACAGAAAAGGGACTCTTACTGGCCACTGGTCATCGCTGCATTAAAAAACTTGAGTGCAAATTTTACCAAATGTATTCATCAAAAGGGGATCTATTCATTTCATATGCAAATGTTATTACATTGACATTAAGCATGTAGTAAGTTGGTTGACCTAGATTTTTAAAATCTCTCAATATAAGCCAGCCCTGCAACTAAAAATTCAAACATCAAGATCTATCTGTAGTCTAGATTATCTAGACAAACACTGGAAGATAGAGCAACAGCAAAAACCGATTTATCTGAATAATAAAAATAATTTGGTAGTTTTTATCCTAGAAGTACTTTTACTAATATGTACAACATTACCTATTTCTACATGGGTTGGAACAATACTATTTTAGCTGTTGGAGTATCACGGTATTAAGAATATCTGCTTCTTGTAGTGTCAGATTTTCATCTGTTAGCTCTTTACTTGGAAATGAAGTCACAAGAATAAAGTCTGTTGTTGCAAATTCAGGACGTGACTGTATTATAAAGTCTCGGACATCCAGAATCCTGAAGGAATAAGTAGAAATAGTTTATTGTAACAAGGGCATATATCCATGCAAACTTTTAGCAAAAATCCTCACAATAAAAATTATATAATCCCAACTTTTGTTTAAAGGTGCTATAACTTCATTTAATTTACATTATTTTGATGGGAAAGTTCATCAGATTTTGAAAGAAAAATAATAATTTTGGAGTATACATTTGTAATAAAACAAAACAATCTTTAAGTGAATTATGTATAAAGTAAGTATTAACAATATTGTTATTTTAAAAGTATGTCTCATTGTTTTCAAAATAAAAACTGTTGGAAGCCTAAGCCTCTAAGTCATTTGTGTGAACACTGGGCAGGATGAGCCTAACACGGCATGCGAGTTTGTGGGCACCCACATGTATAAAAGCTAAGTGTGGTAGTACGGGCCTGTAATTCCACCTGTTGGAAGGCTAAGTCAAGATCACTGACTTTAATGCAAGCCTAGGTTACACAGTCATACAGTAAAATCCTATCATTAAAAATAGTAACAAAAAAAGAATTTAAAAAATTATTCTCACATATACCTAGTAACTTAACTATGACCATATAGGCACACAGGATCTTATAACCAGTGAAAAATAAAAGCACTATTATGTGCAGGGAAAATATTTATATTCAAATGAGTACTAAAGAGAATGGAACAACCTATTAGAGATACTATACCAACAATACAAACTACTTACACCATGCATTTACATTATGAAGTTGCTAAACAGAAAGTTCTGACTAGAACTTCATAAACTTTGTTTGAGATAATGTCTTGTTATGTAGTTCAGACTTACTTCAAACTTGTACTTGCTTTGAGCTTCCAAATGATGGGATTACAGGTGTGTACTACCGTCCTAGCTTACAACTTATATTTTAACTGAGTCCCAATAGGATCATACTATCTTGAATCTGAATCCACTTGATATAGTTTTAGTTACAAGGCATGCAAAACTACAGTTCATATATTTGAGTTGTCTAAACTTGGACTAACTAGATAATTTACAATGATTATTAGCATCTATTTGATTTACTGTAGGTAGTTCCCATTTAATATTCTTTTGTCAAAAGCTTACTTCACAAATGTAAAGGACTTCATCTATTCCTCATGCTTTGTGTAGTTTTCTGAGGGTGAGCAGCAGTACATGCACACAGAGAGCCCTGGCTGCTGGAGCAGCTTACCGGTGTGTGCTGTTGAATCGCTGTATTAGGCGACTGCCATCTGCCAACCTGATCTGAACTTTCGTGGTGGGCACTGAATCATCAATAAGAACAGCCGCATTAAGTACATTAAGTATTGATTTATCCTCTTCTTCTGGGGAGGAAGGAGTACTGACGATTTCAGGTGTAAGGCTAAGAAAAAAGAATTTCAGAATCAGAGCATAGACTGAGTACGTAGGACACAGGACACATTGAAGGTGGCCAAGACTCAGCTCTGCAGTCAGTTGTGTCGTCATCCCTTGGAGGACTTCCCTAGCAAGACCATGCTTCCTTCCAGTGTTCTCTAAGGCTTTTGGCCTCTTTAATTATATTGAAAGTAGTGTGTGCCTGCGATTCCTACTTATTAATCCCAGACCTCTCAGAAGCCTAGCTGCATTTTCTTTCTCCAAATTCATCTCTGAACTTTCCTCACACCTACCGCACAGTACAGGGAGAAATGAGAAACTAGAGACTTACTGAAAATAGATTTCAAATCCCAACTAAGTTCTTACTGGATACACTTGAGGAAGAACACCCATCTCGTCTAATTCAGTAAGACTACATTCCGTAATGCATTTATTATCCCATGATGTCCCTCAGGATAATGCTGAGAACAAAGAACTCAAAAGCTACTTTTGCTTATATAATCAGAACTGAACTGTTACTTTAAAACATTGTCAATACGATAAAAAAAAAAATCTGACTTAAGTAGATACTGCTTTGCAAGAGAGATATAGCTCCAAGCTATTAGTGAGAAATGAAATTTTACTCATTTCTCACATTTATTCATTTTTCACATAAATTCTCATTGAAGCCTACGAGACAAAACACCTTAGCATTTGATCTTGATTACTAGTGACTTGATTGGTTTGACAGCTTCTAATATCATCAGGATGATTAGACACAAACTAAAAGTTATTGTGAAAAGAGTTCTTTCAAGAGTAAAACAAATTTAACCAAATTTCCTTAGCATCTTGAGGGAGTTTTTACATCTTTGTTTATTCCCCCATACACTAAGATTTCAGAATCCCATATATTGCTTTATAAAGTGACTGCTCTGAGCGTAAGGCAACGACTCTTACTTCTATCCAAACTTTCTCCCAAACTGTCATATGGCAAGATAGTCAAGTTAACTGATCTTTACTGAAAACACTTGCCCACCTTTTCCTCACCTCCAGATTTAAACCAATCTGAGAAAATATGTGGTAAAAATACACAAGAGAAGAAAACATATTAAATGACTAGATACTGAAGGAAATTCTTCCTCAAGTTCCTCAAGTAGCCTTACGCAGTTGTATTGTCAAGCTAGCACACAGGGGAGAGATGAAAACCAGACAGGAGGTGCAAGAAGATCAGTAACCATGCACATACATGACCAACTGTGACTATGAGCCATCCATCCCCACTGGCCTGAGTCCTTAGGATGTTCTTTCTCCTCACGAGTAACCATGCACACACATGATCAACAGTGACCCTGAGCCATCCATCCCCACTGGTCTGATGGAAGAGAACCGCTCTATTGTACAGATTAACCCCAAGGCACAAGGGCATTTCAAGTTAGGTTTCCACACCACCTAAAGGAGGCTACTGAGAAACAAGAAAGCTGACTTGGCTCTATCCTATGACATAAACTGCATAATGGTGTTTCCATCATCTAATATCTTCTCAGAAAAATTCTGGGCAGTCAGGCAAGCTTCTTCTGAAACAAGAATGAAGTACAAAGAGGGAACCTCAGTAGAAAGTACCTGATACATTCCCTTGTAAGAAGCAAGTGTGTAAAAATGAATTATTTACAAACTGGAAAGGATGGACTTTTGGAACAGGTGTGGCAACTGTATCAGTGGAAAACCTCCGAGTCAGAGGTGGACCAGAACGCTGTCCCAGGCCAAGTTCAATACTGGTGAGCAGGCATTGTGTTTCTCTAAACCCAATGTTCACTGTCAGAGTCAATTTCCTTTGCTGTTTAAGACTTCCCTGCTCTCTCTTCTTTTGAGGCAATGTCTCACTCAGGTTGGCCTTGAACTGATCCTTCTGCTTCAGCCTCACAATTGCTGGGACTACAGCAGTGCACAACAAACTCCTCCATTAGTCAACCGTCACACTGCAGTGACAGTCCTTAAAAAAATTTATTTTTCCATGTATGAGTGTTTTGCCTACATTTATGTATATGCACTGTGAGCATGCCTTGTTCCTGTGGAGGCCAGAGAAGGCATTGTTTCCTTTGAATGTGGAGTTAGATATGGTTGTGCTCCGCCCCAAATGGGTACTGGGAACCACACCAGACCCACTATAAGAGCAGCACGCACTTTTAGCCACTGGCCCATCTCTGTAGCCCTCTACAGTGACATTTGCTTATACTGTATTTATTTTAAGTTTAATTAAAACAATTTATTTTTAAAGAGAGAAATTAAGAGCCAGAAAGACTCTGGCTTAATATAGTTCTTAAGAAAGCTGGAAGAAAGGATGTGAGCTGAGATTCCCTCAGACAGCTGAGGAAGCTTATGGGATGATGATTCAGGAATCTCAAGGTAACATGGAAACCATCATCATCAGCCGGAGAATGTTGCTGAAGTCAAAGAAATGTGCTTAATTAAGCATGTGATGTAGGAGTAGGAGGAGGGCTGTGGGAGGAAGCAGGGAGCATCTGAGCCAAGTCCTAAGGAATCTAGGGGACCCAGCACTGCCTGCTCTGCCAGACCGACACTGTAAGCAGTCCCAGCTGCACGAGGCGGAAGATCCAGTGGCAGTAGTGACATGAGGGCTGAACAAGTAGCAAAATTAGCAGGAAACAGAAGACAGGCCAGAGGGGCTACTTGGCATTAGACAAGAGCATTCCTGAGACTAGGGACTAACTCGAAACTGACCTTGGATTTAGTGCCTGATGACCGAGTGAACAAGCAGAATCTCATCAACTAAACAGCACAAAGACACAAAGAATTATCTATTCAAGTAGTGTCATTTATCATAC